GGGAGAGCTGCACCCCGCACGGGGCCGCCGCACCGCTTCCCTCCGCGCAGCTCTTCTGCCTGGTTTTCGGAGGCCAGGCTCCTGGGAAGCTTCCGTGTTCCCGTCCTTCCTGCAAGAAGCCGGGGAGCTCAGGCAGACACATGTCCGCAGAGCACGCCAGCTGTGAAGGACGGGTTGAGGTGATGATGCGTGCACACGTCAGGTGGCGGGGACTTGAGCTTTAAAAAAACTCCACAGCCGAATCTTCTCCGAGCCGCTCCGTGTCACGTCCAGCTGGGCCTGGCCAGTCTCAGGTTATCTGCGTGGGATGAGATAACACCACATCCTGCAGCTGTGAAGGGGGACAGACAAGGGACGACGGCAGAGCATCAGCAGCTGACACAGAGTCCGGATCGGGGACTTGGGTGGTCCTGCGTGGCCCGGGACTCATCTCACGGACCCTCCGTTCTGCATTAAGCCCCAGGTTCTCTTCTGGCTTTGAAAGGGCCCGAGTGCTCCCAATGTAGCTTCATCACGTCGGCAGGAGCCCCAGCGGTCATGGGCGACCTCAGGCCTCCCTCCCTGAGTTCTGCTCTGACATAAAAAGTCCCCCGTGGCTGGTGCAGCACAGCCGTGCTGGGGAGGCACCCATTCCTTCGGGGGTCCTCGGGCCTGCAATCCCCTCACACTCACTCTTCACCCCACATATTTTCCGGTGCTGATACGTTTCCAGACTCCAGCGCAACCTGGGGCACTCTCCAGACCCATGCAGGGGCCGCCTGGGGTACACGGAAGGAAGTTGAGTCCTAGTGGAAAATGCAGGTGGGCGTTGCCAGAGTGTGCACAGCAAATGACCTTCATTGCCAGTTGTGCCCCACTCCTCTCATTTTTTATACTAAGCAATAACTTTCCAAAGCAAGAAGTTCAGGATGGAGAGAGTCCCCTCCTGTCTAGGCATGGGGTGGACGCGGTGCCCGCCTGGGCTGTGCGGGGAGCACCGCTGGCTCTCGGGATGCGCGAATTTTTTTTTTTTTTTTGTAATTAACAGGGCATTAGAAGATGATTTTGCCAAAATTGTCATGACTGAATTCTTGCTGTGGGGACTTCCTGAGTTTTCTCAGTTTTTACGTCTAAGATTAGTCTTGGCTGAGGAGAAACGAGACGCGATTATACTACTTTCAATTGCAGGTTTAAGCAGTTCAGATTTAATGACCAAAGTCATGCAGATCCATGGAATCTGTCGTCGTGTTATACAGTGTCAGCCTCGAGTAAATTTATTGACCTTCTGGGGCTGTCAGTTTTCCACTAGGATTAAGATTTTGGCTGGGCACAGTGGCTCACGCCTGCAATCCCAACACATTGGGAGGCTGAGGTGGGCGGATCACTTTGAGCCCAGGAGTTCAAGACTAGCCTGGGCAACATGGCAAAACCACGTCTCTACTAAAAATACAAAAAAAAGAAAAGAAAAAAAAAATACTAGTCAGGCACATAGTGGTGTGCACCTGTAGTACCAGCTACTTGGGAGGCTGAGGTGGGAGGATGGCTAGAGCCCAGGAGATGGACGTTGCAGTGAGCTGAGACCATGCCATTGTACTGTAGCCTGGGTACAGAGCCAGACCCAAAAAAAAAAAAAAAAAAAAAAAAAAGATTTTCATAATTCCCATTTTTATTTATTTTGAGTCACTCATAATTAATTGCCAAAAAAGCATTTTATACATTGAGGTTGGGGGGGGGGTGGATCTTAGTGTGGTGTTGCATGGAGGGGCGAGATTTTATATTTATAATCAACACGTGGGTTAACATGTTTTTTTGAAATCCAAGCAATACACAGGAAATAAGTAGAATAAAAATTCCAGCCCATTTTTGAAATGTCAGCATGTGCTGTGTTCAGGTCAGATTTTTGTTGTTTGTTTTGTTATTTTTTAACTAATAAGTTGGTTATCAGTGGTGGGTTTTCAAAACGTACTTGTTCTAATAAGTTGTGCAATGAAATAAATCAGTGGCGTTCTCTGGATGATGTGGGGGAAGGTTAGCATATTTTCTGGCCTTCTATGGGTAGCAACCCAGAATCAATCTGAATTAGACCTATTTTGGTGGAGTTTGTACATTTTAAATCCTATAACAAAAATAATCTAGCTTTCATTTCCTTCCTAGCTAGATGCGAATTTGTCTTTTCAAATGACCCTGTCAATAAGCCAGAAAGGGCAACACAGAAAAAGTGCTCCCCAAATCCCTTCTGAGACTTGGCCCGTGTGTCTGGACGAGAAGCCATTCCCCGTAAGGGTGCAGAAAGCTCGACCAAGCCGAATTGCAAACAGCGTTCGCGCTATTTTTAAATGTAGAGGTTCGATCGTTTCTATAGAAATGGGTTTATCTAAGAAAAGTCTTGGTATGTCTTGCTGCTGTAAAAGGCCTTTCGGAACCCCTCCTTTTATTCCTGTTCCCCGTAGGGTGTTTGTAGAGTTAAGGACCTACTGCATGTCTGTCCCCAGGGCCCCGGTGGAAGGAGGGCAGCGCCTGCTCTTCCCCGACTCAGCCCGTCATCTGAAAATTCAGAAGTGAACCAAGGGTTAGACGCCAAAGGTTGGGCTTCTGTTAGAGTGGCTTCAACATGTGAGCCTTATGAGAAGTAGCCTTAAAAAAAGAATCGGTGTACGCAGTGACTTCCGATGGAAATCTCCAAAACAATATTCCTAAGTAGCAATGGGGTTGGCTCAAGTCTTTATTAACAAAGAACATTCTCTTTCATCTATAAAAAAATTCTTAAAGATGCGTCGACAGTATTGAATTACCAGCAGCCTGTGAAGATCAGCTGGACGGGTGTGGACACGTGCTGGTGAAGCGCGCAGGCTTAGTGGGCTGAGCGGGATCTTGATCGTGGGGCTGGTGTATGGATCCACCGTGGGATTCCGTCTGTAGAGGAGGATGTAGGGGGCCGTCACATCCCCCAGGCCTCCCTGCTGTCTCTTTAACACAGGCAAAAAAGGTCCCCGGCAATGTAACAGTCAATGAACTTCCAGTTTAAATTGTGTACATTTTTAAATTGTAAGATTTTTACTGTATATTGATGCATAGTGTGATTCAATAAATTGCTTGTAATTTAAAAACTATTTAATATTCAAAATAAATATAGTTATATATTTATAAACTCTGTTGCCGCGTTTCTTCTATGTTTTGTCCATGTGCAAGGACCTGGGTGGGTGGCCTGGCCCTGCCCTGCTGGGAGCGCCCACAGCCTGTGCCCGGGGCCCCTGCCCTGGTCCCTTTGGAGCTTGTGTGCCAGGACAGACTTAAACTCCCCGCACTCCTGAGGACATAAAGCTTTGTGTCACCACTGGAAAACCAAACCTGTTTAGTGTTCGTGCCCCCTTGAAGCATGTCTATAATCCATGCCTTTGCACTCTCATGAATTTCGGAAGCATTTTATTTCCAAAGACCTCGATTGGCCCAGCCTCAAATGAGCTCTAGGCCAAGAGAAGAACTAACCTTGGCTCCAAGCCAGCCTTTCTGTGCCCACCCCCTGGTCCCCCACCCCACCCCACCATGGCCCCTCTGAGTCCCCACCCAGAAGTACTGAGACAGGGCAGCGAGACCCATGAGTGTGGAGCTCTGGCCTGCCAGCCAGCGTGACACTCACAGTCACCACACCCCTAGCAGCCCCGAATGGTCCCTCCCTGAGCAAGATGCTGCTTTGGCTGGGCATGGTGGCTCACGCCTGTAATCCCAGCACTTTGGGAGGCCGAGGCGGGTGGATCACTTGAGGTCAGGAGTTCAAGACCAGCCTGGCCAACGTGGAGAAACCCCGTCTCTACTAAAAATACAAAAATTAGCTGGGCGTGGTGGCTCACGCCTGTAATCCCAGCACTTTGGGAGGCCGAGGCGGGTGGATCACTTGAGGTCAGGAGTTCAAGACCAGCCTGGCCAACGTGGAGAAACCCCGTCTCTACTAAAAATACAAAAATTAACTGGGCGTGATGGTGCATGCCTGTAATCCCAGCTACTCGGGAGGCTGAGGCAGGAGCATCGCTTGAACCCGGGAGGCGGAGGTTGCCATGAGCCGAGATCATCTCGCTCCACTGCACGCCAGCCTGGGCAGCAAGAGCGAAACTCCGTCTTAAAAAAAAAGGCGTTCCCATGGACAGCCTCCCCACCCCCAACTCGGGGTCCGCCCCCAGCCCGTAGGAGCCCCAGGTTCCCCTAAACATCCCGGGCAGCGGGGCGGGGGAGCCCCTGGGAGATGCCGGCGTTTTCGCGGAGCGGCTCGTCCCGGAGTGCTCCTGGGACTTGGGTTCTGTGCTGAGCCTGAACCGGGGCTGCCCCTCCGTCCGGCTGCTCCCAGGGACCTGTTTCCCCATCCGCGGAATGGGCCCCGGGGCACCGCCAGGAGTGGAGAGGTCCGGCGGAAGGAGGGCCGCGGGATGGCATGGATTGCGGGGTGGCTGTGGTCGCGGGGGAGGGGGGAAGCTGGGGTGGGGGGAAGGCCTGGTCTCGGCACAAGATGTGGGGTAGGCGAGTGGGGAAGGTGCGGGTGGAAATTGAGGGGAGGATGGGGACAAGCAGGTTGTGGGGAGGCTGTCGGGGACGGGAGTAGGGGAGGTGGGGACGCAAGGCTGTCTTGCGAAGCTGTAGGGGAGGATGGGGAGAGACGATGGGGGGAAGCTATCTCCGGGCGGGTAGGGGAGGCTATAGGAGGAGGAGGGGGAGAGGCGGTGGGGGAGCTGTCTGGGGGAACGAGGGTGGGGGGGCTGGGGGAGGATGGGAGAGGCGGTGGGGGGGAGGCTGTCCTGGGGGGCACGAGGGGGGACTGTAGGGAGGGATGGGAGGAGGCGGGGCGGGGAGGTTTATATCTGGGGGCGGGGCGAGCTGGGGGGCGGGGCTGCGCGGCCACCTGGTCTGGAAGCCCCAGGCGCCGGCCGCCCGCCGCAGGTGCCGCCACCGCTGCCCGCGCCAGCCCGGAACCCGGACCTCGGCCCCGCCGCCGGCCCCGCCCCGCCCCGAGGGCTCATTTGCATGCGTCCGCGGGCCCCGCCCGGGGCGGCTAAAGCGACGTGTCCTTGTCCCCCGTGGGCAGCCTCGGCGCGTGCGGCGCGGATCCCAGGTAACCTGGGAGTGGGAACTCGGGGGCGGTCGCGGGGAGGGAACTCCAGGGGCAGGACCTGGCGGCGGGGCTTGTGCGGGATGGCCGGGACACCCGGGTGGGGGACTTCTGGTCTGTCCGGAGCCCCCACGGGGGCCATCCACGTGGTGGATTGGGGGCTACCCCCAGGCCCTGGCCATTGCCGACCTCTGACCTCCACGGCTGCCCCATGTCCGCAGCGGTTCTGGCCCCAGTGCTGTCCCTGCACGTGTCACGTCCAGCGGGGCAGGACAGCAAGAGCCTGGTGGCTGGAGTCACTGCCCGCCCACGGGGCGAAGGAGTCAGTGCCGCCTCCGGCAGAGGTGCCCCCTAAGCTAGGTTGGGGGACGCGTCTCAGGGTGGTCTAGGCAAAGTGTCAAAGGTCACCAAGCTCAGGAGGCACTGGGGGGCCGTGAGGGGCATGAGGCCAGAGGAAGATCTAGGGGTCAGGGTGAGTCGCCCAGGAGGAAGGGGGACACAGGGACAGGGACAGGTTCCAGAGGTCTGTATGAGGCAAAGCAGGGGCGTGGGGTGGGGTCAGCCCATGGCTAAGCGTGTGAACAGAAGGATCTCCAGTCGCGGAGCGCCACCCCCTGCCCCTGGTACCATTGTTGTCAGCAAGTAGGAAGCTGCCGGGGACGGCACCCCAGAGGGTCCTCTGGCCATGTGGGGGTGACCACAGAGTGTCCTGTGTTCTGGATTTCAGCTCCAAGGGCCTCACCTCCCTGTCGCCACCTCCTGGGACAGCCAGTCCAGGGCCATGAAGACCAAGAACCGGCCCCCGCGGCGCCGGGCCCCGGTGCAGCACACAGAGGCCACCCCTGGGGAGGGGACGCCAGAGGGGTCCCTGCCGAACCCGGGGCCAGAGCCATCCAAGGGTCTGCGAAGCCGGCCGGCGCGGGCCGCAGCAGGGGCGAGGGGTGAAGGCGGGCGCAGGCGTCCAGGCCCCTCGGGACCCGGTGGCCGTCGTGACAGCAGCATCCAGCGGCGGCTGGAGAGCAACGAGAGGGAGCGGCAGCGGATGCATAAGCTCAATAACGCCTTCCAGGCCCTCCGTGAAGTCATCCCGCACGTGCGCGCCGATAAGAAGCTCTCCAAGATCGAGACACTCACACTGGCCAAGAACTACATCAAATCACTGACGGCCACCATCCTGACCATGTCCAGCAGCCGCCTCCCGGGCCTAGAGGGGCCGGGCCCCAAGCTCTACCAGCACTACCAGCAGCAGCAGCAGCAGCAGGCGGCTGGGGGCACGTTGGGGGCCACCGAGGCCCAGCCCCAGGGCCACCTGCAGAGGTACTCCACCCAGATCCACAGCTTCCGAGAGGGCACCTAACGCCCAGCCCTGGGTGGGGGTGGAAGTGGCCGCGGCTGCCTGGCCTGCTCCTCCCAGCCCCAGTCCCTCCAAGCCGCGAGCCCCAAATGGGCGGGGACACCCCACAAGGACGCGGCCTCAGCGGTTCCATTTTCCCCCGAACATTCAGCCATTTCCCTGGAGCAATTTTTCCTGCCCCACTGGGGACCAGCGAGTGGCCTAGTTGAGGCCGTGGCCCTGGAGAGCGGCGTGAGTCCCAAGCCTTTGGGTAGGGCCCAGGCAGATCTGGATTCTTCATTGAGCCAGGCAGTCTCCTTGAAAAGGAGGAAAAGTTGAAAAACCTCCTTAGCCTTGGCACCAACGATTCTTCACCCTGACTTCCTCCAGGGCAAGGGGAGATCCCAGGAAAAGGGTTACCTGCAGGTTTTCCGAAGCCAAGGCCCTGGCAAGGGACCCCCGCCTCCAACCTTCATTGTAGGGCTACATGGGGCCTGGGCTCAGCATCCGCATTTGGGGTAAACTGAGGCCCGGGACAAGCGTGGCAGAGCCCAAGGCTGCTCAGGGAGTGGGGCCAATCTGAGATGGTTGGAGCTGCCAGAAAATCTAATCAGATGACCTCAAATTCATCCTCAAAGGTTTGAATAGTGGGAAGGAGCTGGAGTCTCTTCCTCCCTCCTCCCGAGTGGGGGCTCCTGGATGTGGTGACCCCAGGCTGTGCCTGGTTGTGGAGGGTCTGGGGCAGGGTGTGAGGGCTGCTGTGGAGCTGGAGCAGGAGACAGGGCTGGGTGTCCCTGGTGCAGCCCTTCTGGGCATGGGAGAGAAGC